TTTGTTAGAATCAGCATATCAAAGAACCCTAAGAATTCAATTTTTGATGAAATCAAACAAAAGTTTAATTTAGGACCCTTTAGACCACAATGTGGTTTTAACTAATTAATAATGCAAATGAATACAGGTTTAGATTCAGCATTTCAAAGAACCCTATATATATTCAATCTATGTTGAAATCAAACACAGTTTAATTTTGGACCCTGATTTGAACCAACATGAAAACTGGCCCCAAAATCAGAAATCTAAATATATGTTTATTAATAGACAATATAAGCTTAGTTCGCATCATCAAAAAAAATAAATATATATAGCATTCAGAAAATTAGTTTATACAGAATAACAAACAAACCTACCACAAAATTCTTCAAGCAATTTACCGAAGAAAAGAAAAAAAAATCCAAAATGTCATTTATCATTTATACAACTTATCATTAATTATATTCAAAATGTCTAATAATGAACAGTAAATTTCAAACTATATTAATTTATACTGTCCTACAGAGCTTATCATCATCAACACTTAGGAAACAGAAAATTTCAAATAAATCTGTCACTCCAATTATAAATGTGTGATTGATATTTACCACATGCTTTCTTATCTGATAACAGGTGAAAATTATTTAAAAACACTTACTGTAATCAAACTTTATATATATAATTAATAGTTCCAAATATTTTTTCTTTCATTTGTCACAAACTAATATAGATCTGCAACTTATCTATCAATGTCAACAACTTTATCTACACAATGTTATGTAAAGAAATTTATCCTTTAATAAAAATAGATTATTACCTAATGACAATAATGCACAGCTGAAATGTCTCTCAGGCTTTACTGATCATTGATTTTATGTTGATAGTCCTAAATATAAAGCTTTACTACAAGTATCACATAAACTTAACATGATCCAAGAAAATGAGGCCAAGATCAGATAAACCAAACCGGAAATACATATACACCTTACAATCATTCCATACACAAAATATAGTTGATCTATTGCTTTTAGTTTCTAAGAAACAAACTTAACCAGGAAAATTTATCATTGACAAATGAACCATGAAAACGAGGTCAAGGTCAGATGAACCATGCCAGACAGACATGTACACCTTACAATCAATCTATGCATTAAATATAGTTGACCTATTGCTTATAGTATCGAAGAAACAAACTTAACCATGAAAATGAGGTCAAGGTCAGATGATACCTACCAGACAGACATATACACCTCACAATCATTCCATACACCAAATGTAGTTGACCTATTGCTTATAGTATTAGAAAAAAGACCAAAACACAAAATCTTAACACTGAGCAATGAACCGTGAAAATGAGGTCAAGGTCAAATAAAACCTGCCACACTGACATGTGCATCATAAAATATTTCCATACACCAAGTATAGTATTAGAAAAAAACACCAAAACACAATAAAATGCTCCGCTGGGCGCAGCTTGATACGCCGCAGAGGTCGAACCCTGAACAGTTGGGGCAAGTATGACACAAGTCACACAACATTCAAGCTTGATACAGCACTGAATTTGGATTGTGATTAAATATTTGACACAGCATCACCAATTTAAATTGGAAAATTTTAAAGAAAAAAAAAGGAAAAAAAGGGAAAAAAATCCCCCCCCCCCAATTTTTTGAACCCCCTTATGATTCATCACCCCCAAACTCAATCCCAGCCTTCCCTTTGTGGTATGGTACCTTTCAGTACAATTTCAGAGAGATCCATACACTTGAACACAAGTTATTGTCTGGAAACTAAAAAAATGCTTGATTTTTGGCCTCAAATTCCTAAACGTTTAGGGCAATTACCCCCAAACTCAAACCCAGCTTTCCCTTTGTGATATGGAATCTTGTAGTACAATTTCATAAAGATCCATACACTTACACACAAGTTATTGTCCTGAAACTAGAAAAATGCTTGTTTTTTGCCCCTTTTTGGCCCCTAATTCCTAAATTTTGAGGCAATTACCCCTACAATCAATCCCAGCCTTCCCTTTGTGGTATGGTACCTTGCAGTACAATTTCAGAGAGATCCATACACTTGAACACCAGTTATTGTCTGGAAACTAGAAAAATGCTTATTTTTGGCCCCTTTTTGGCCCCTTATTCCTAAACGTTTTGGGCAATTACCCCCAAACTCAATTCCTTTGTGATATGGAACCTTGTAGTACAATTCAGAAAGATCCATACACTTACACACAAGTTATTGTCCTGAAACTAGAAAAATGCTTGTTTTTTGCCCCTTTTTGGCCCCGAATTCCTAAATTTTGAGGCAATTACCCCTACAATCAATCCCAGCCTTCCCTTTGTGGTATGGTACCTTGCAGTACAATTTCAGAGAGATCCATACACTTGAACACAACTAATTGTCTGGAAACTAGAAAAATGCTTATTTTTGGCCCCTTTTTGGCCCTTATTCCTAAACGTTTTGGGCAATTACCCCCAAACTCAATTACTTTGTGATATGGAACCTTGTAGTACAATTCAGAAAGATCCATACACTTACACACAAGTTATTGTCCTGAAACTAGAAAAATGCTTGTTTTTTGCCCCTTTTTTGGCCCCTAATTTCTTAAATTTGGAGGCAATTACCCCCAAAATCAATTCCAGCATTCCCTTTGTGATATGGAACCTTGTGGTACAATGTCAGAGAGATCCATACACTAACACACAAGTTATGTCTGGAAGTTACAAAAATGCTTATTTTTGGCCCCTTTTTGCCCCCTAATTCCTTAACTGTTGGTACCATAACCCCCAAAATCAATCCCAACTTTCCTTTTGTGGTATTGAACCTTATGGTAAAATTTCATAGAGATCCATTCACTTGAACTAAAGTTAGAGTGCGAAAACCAATGTGTCTTCGGACAACGACGACGCCAACGTCATACCAATATACGACCGCAAATTTTTTTTGTGGTCGTATAAAAACTCAACTTTAACCACTGAACCATGAAAATGAGGTCAAGGTCAGATGACACCTGCCAGTTGGACATGTACACCTTACAATCATTCCATACACCAAATATAGTAGACCTATTGCTTATAGTATCTGAGATATGGACTTGACCACAAAAAACTTAACCTTGTTAACTGATCCATGAAATGAGGTCGAGGTCAGATGAAAACAGTTTGCCAGGCATGAGGACCTTGCAAGGTACGCACATACTAAATATAGTTATCCTTTTACTCATAATAAGAGAGAAATTAACATTGCAAAAAATATTCACTTTTTTTTCAAGTGGTCACTGAACCATGAAAATGAGGTCAAGGACAATGGACATATGACAGACGAAAACTTCATAACATAAGGCATCTATATACAAAGTATGAAGCATCCAGGCCTTCCAGTTTCTAAAATATAAAGCTTTTAAGAAGTTAGTTGACCCAGCCGTCGCCAGAACACTATCCCATGTCGAGCTTTCTGCGACAGAAGTAGCAGGCTCGACAAAAATGATATTTGCAAATCTGGACCCCAAACAGGATCAAGTAAAAATTAAACATTAACACACACAACAAAAATAAATAAAATACCACATAACAACTGTGACATCCACCTTCAAAACACACGATTTAAAAAAAATAGTTATAAAGAAATTTTTGATATTCATTGATATACTATCTATACATACCATTTCTGTTCAAAGGGAAATAACTCAATCATATAATAAATATCACTTTTGGCTACTGAAAGGTCTACAACTCAACGAGGAAAAGCTAAAATCCTGAAAATTGAACTCGACCTTCATTTAGTCACAGGAAACAACATATCTAAATTAGAAAACATTTCGTCAAAGCATTTTCATGTTAATGAACGGACACTGTTTGGCAGCCGCACGCCGTACATCCCCAAATCAATAACCGATTTTTCCTTCGAAAAATCCAGTTAAAAAAGAAAAGCAAAAATTTTGTCTAGAAAAGTTAGCTATTTTCCTATTAAACAAGGGGCAATACTCTTGAACAACATAACGGTTAATGAATTCGATCAATTCCAAAACCAAATATTTTGCAATTTTTTGCATTATCAAGAGGCATGACATTGGAAAGCCGAAATGAAATCATTCAATTTCCAAATGTGCTTATTGGTCTGCAACGTTTTCAAATTTCAAATGATTTGGTGGAGCATTAATCAAGTAATTTCGTTGGAACAATAAACGTAACATTTACCAAATTTAAAATGGACCCACGATAAATGGTCCCTAACAACATTTACAAATTTGGAATGGTGGAACCAAACAATTAGGTTCAATGTCCCTCAATCAAGGTTGACATAAGATGTATTGTGACGTTTCCTTTAGGTCCCTTTTGGTTATATAGCTTCTCCAGTATTCAAGTACATATAAACCCTTGGCTTTAAATCTTTTACGGTTTGCATGTTCCTGATGAAGGTTTTAAAATCCCGAAAAGCACCTCTGACACAAAAAATTTATACCTTGATACTTTAAATTATTTTCAAGAGGCATAACACCGGAACAATAGTGAAATTGGTCAAATTGGAAATGGTTCTATGTTTAGTGGTGTGTATTAAAAAAAAATTTCAAATGATTTGATGGAGGCTTATTCAAGATATTGTGAAGAAACATTTTGCTATTTCTGTGTTGTCGTGGTAAACAACTCTGGTCTAACAATAGTGAAATCTGTCAAACTAGAGCTGGGTGGGTATTTTATAGTGGTCCCTTAAAACATTTCTGAATTTCAAATGATTTGGTGGAAAGTAAAAGTTATTGATCAAGTTTGGCTTCAAGTGACCTATGTCTACAGAGGAAAGAACTTTTTAAAGTTTATATATAGTAAACAATGTTGGACAATGAATGCCAAATGATGGCTATCCACAGAACCTGAGCAAGGTGAGCTAAAATAGTTACACCTAAAACCTGTAAAAGGTCACAGGAGAGAAAAATATAGGTAATGTTGTGTTTATTTTGGGTTTTTTTTTTTTTTTATGAAAATCCTCAATCTATCAGTGATTTTCTAGAACTAAAAACAAATCAATTAATAACTTATTATTTTATTCAACTATAACAAGTGTGTTGTTGTTTTTTAACCACAACATAATAAAATACAACATGTGAGTAACATCTGACCATGTCAAAGATACCCATACATATATGTGAATAGTTGTAAATTTATAAATAGATACCCATACAGAAGTGTGAACAGTTGTAAATTTATGAATTAATACACATACAGAAATTTGAACTGGTGTACATTTATGAATTAACTATGGTCTTAAATTGAAGCACTTAACTAAGATTGTTGACAGGTATTCAATCATGTATATAATATATTAATAAAACTGATTTTCATTTTGTTAAAGTAGCAATTTTTGTGGAAACCTTTTTCTACGAAACTAAGTTTGCGCAGGAGCACATTTATCTGTCTAACAACAATTATATAAATAATGTTTAAAATTTTCTTGATCAACAAACCAAAACATATGCATTTTTCATAAAACAAGAGTAAAAACATGTATGTATATAAGACTCTTTCCATACTAGACTTATAAAATATATGTGGGTAAACATAAAATGACCACAAGCCAAATTCTATATGCAATGATAAATTATTAAATATACATAGATCTTAGTAGATTTACATGCTAGTCAGTTATTTTCATGTTCTGTACACTTTAGATCAACATATCATTTTTCTGGGATAGTAAATAATCTAACAGTATGTCAGATAGCAGTCATGTCGTGTTAAAAAGGGCATTAGCTGTCAAATTTATGATTATCAATTTAACACAATTTCTAATGTTTACTAGAACATACTATAACGTATGTCCAAATAACTAAAAAGTCCAAAAGGAACAATTTACAATGCATGGCCTCATTATAATTTATCAGCTTTTCGTGCATATTTCAGACTAGATACCATCTAATTAACCATTGTGATGACTTCCGAAGACTGCCAATTGATATACAGCCTAATTAAAGGTTGCATGAATACAGATTCAAATGCAGTTGAATTATTGACTTGCAAGCAAAAAATACAACAGCAATTTTTTTGAGCTTATTTTGACAAAATTGTACCAAACTGACTGCTAATAGCAAAATATCATTTCAATATTCTGCTTTTGTAAATGTTTAAAACCAAAAATTTTTATTTTCATTATTTGTTTAAATTGTAGCTAAGGCCAAAAAAAAATATATGTCTGTTTAAGGTTACATACTTTAAAAATATAGGGTAGGTAGGTCGGTATTTTCATTTTATTTTATTTTTTCATTTTATTTTTTGTGACATGATTTTGAGTCATGCCGTTTCGACTTGTCATGGTCAGAGTTGATCATGGGCCAAGTTTACCTGTATTTTTGATGATTGGATTATTTCCCTTGGAAAAAAATGGCAGCAAAGTGTTTATTTCATCACACGAGTTGCGAATTTATTTAAAACAGCTGTCATATTCACGATTGTGAACATTGGGATGTATCAGGCAATTGATTTATATCATTTGCAACACTTACTTCGCTTTTGACACGAGTTCAGTTTATTTTTCACTTTACGACGGAAATAAAATGACTAAGGGTCGGCGCTCAAAAGTAGGGTAGGTCGGGTAACCGTAAACAGACATATATTTTTTTTTGGCCTAATGCCTCTTTAAAGCCAGGTTTCATACCAGAATATAATGCAACATCCCTGTGCTATCCATGATTACAAGACAGGAATATTTTCAACAAAATAAACGCTACACTTAAATCAACTCATGATTTCCTAATTTTGGAATTACAATGAAATTATAGGTTTCATATGCATATTTTTTGTAGTTTTTTAGGATTGTTAAAGCTTTACACATTTGCCCGTTTAAAGTGTAATAAGCTTCTGCGCTTTGGAAAAATGTACCTTTGACAATGCTTTCACACTCTAATATCACTACAAAAAGAGGCAATCAATTTTAAAATATATCTACGACATTATACAAGATGCTGTATAATATTCTGCCAATTTCATAGTTTTGAAAGAAAAAGACAATTTATACTAATGTAAATATAATATATATATATATACACAGAATAAAAACAGATGGTACATTTGATGCCCCTAGAGTTGAACAGCATTTCTAACTGTACATTATTCATTCCTCTCGTCACATTTGTTTTCTTCACAAGTACTGGAATTGTTCTATTAGTTATCATATTGTAATCAAAATTACAAACTTCAGAAGTATCGGAATTGTTCTATTAGTTGTTGTGTTGTAATCAGAACCACAAACTTCAGAAGTATCGGAATTGTTCTATTAGTTGTTGTGTTGTAATCAGAGCCACAAACTTCAGAAGTATCGGAATTGTTCTATTAGTTGTTGTGTTGTAATCAGATCCACAAACTTCAGAAGTATCGGAATTATTCAATTAGTCGTCATCAGAACTACAAACTTCAGAATACAATTGTTCAATTAGTTGTCATGTTATAACCTCTGAACTGTTGCGGCTGATTTTCCTCCGATGTTAGACTGTGTGTATAATTATTTCCACCAGCCATCATTGGCATTTTGGATGGATGGTTACCAGACTTGTGACCTTTACCATGCTTGGCGAACTCTTCATGTAACGGCTTTGGGATAGATGCAGCTGGAAAACAGAATTATACATAAAAACAGGCTCTTTCATTAGTTATATAATATTTTGTTCATATATGCTTTCATAAGTTTTATAATATTTCATTCATATATGCTTCCATAAGTTATATAATATGAGCTGTGTCGGATAGAAATCTTATGCAAGCGCACGTATACATGTTCATTTATAAGACATTGATTAATTTTGGAACATTCAAATACGAAATAAAAGATGAATTTTGGTCTATTTTGTAGGGTTCCTGTATCGACTCAATTTTCAAACAGTTACAGACTTTGCATATAGATTTTTTCAACCCAAAATAAGTTAACAAATGTAGCGATATTCATTTGCATAAGGTCAATTTCTATCTGACGCAGCTCATATTTTGTTCATATATGCTTTCATAAGTTATATAATATTTTGTTTATATATGCTTTTTGCTGAAGGCCGTACAGTGACCTATAGACATTAGTTGTTAACTTCTACATCATTTGGTCTCTGGTGGAGAGTTGTCTCATTGGCAATCATACCACATCTTCTTATATTTATTTTCATAAGTTATTCATATTTTGTTTACTAGTCATTATACGTATATATCATGTTTAATGAGAATGTTGAAAACAGTATTTAAAATTATGGTCCAAAAGATTCTGCAAGAAGAGCTATTATTAGTGAAATTTGAAACTCAAATATTCAAACTAATGACTTGTCAGTGGTTGTCTTTTGTCAAATTTTAATTTTTTTTGTTTATTAATTGGAGAATATAGTGTTTATTGCTAGTTGTTTGACAGTCTCTTAACAAAATTTTCAAATTTTTCCATATATTTTTGTTGTTGTAAATTTCCACAACATAAAATAATATATTATTTGTGATAAAACTAAGGTTGACATTACCATTAGCCACTTTGGGCTGTTCTCGTTAGGCCGTTTTTTATTGTATGCTCTAAAAAGTCTTATATTTTTATTTTGAAAAAATTTCCCTCACAGGCCTACCTGATGAAAGTTATTCCTGAAAAATGTGTGGTGCACACAGGTATCATTTTATTTGTTTTTTTGTTTTTTTTATTTAGATTGTGTACCTGTCTATTGAGAACTCTACTGCGTTTTTTTATTATTTGTGTTGTTAGGATGTTATTGTTTCACTGGTTTACCTTTTTATTCATATTATGTCAAAACTTGTACACTTTTTTTCTGTTCTTTAAAACTGTTGATAATCATCTTAGAGAAATGTCTGCCTCACAGCAAATTCAATGTGATTTCCAATATAATTAAAATTTCCAAGGGGCATAACTCGTTAAAAATATTTGATCAACACTTTTTCGAAAGACCTTGCTGATATAAACGTATGATATAAATTTCATAAAATTCTGGCAAGAACTGTACACATGAGAGTGCTAACGGTGCAATTTTCCATATAATTAATATCTCCAAGGGGCATAACTCTTTTAATAAAATGCTCCGCAGGGCGCAGCTTGATACGACCGCAGAGGTCGAACCCTGAACAGTTGGGGCAAGTATGGACACAACATTCAAGCTTGATACAGCTCTGAATTTGGATTGTGATTAAATATTTGACACAGCATAGGTTTCTGACACAGAATGAATGTGGTCTAAGAACTTAAAAATTTTAAATTGGACATTCACCTATTATGGTCCAATATCCAAAATCTAAATACATGGTTAGATTCAGCATATCAAAGAACCCCAAGAATTCAATTTTTGATGAAATCAAACAAAGTTTAATTTTGGACCCTTTTGATCACAATGTGGACAAAGTTGATAACGGGGCCCAAAAATCAAAAATCTAAATACATGGTTAGATTCAGCATATCAAAGAACCCCATATATTCAATTTTTGTTGAAATCAAATAAAGTTTAATTTTGGACCCCGATTTGGACCAACTTGAAAACTGGGCCCATAATCAAAAATCTAAACACATGTTTAGATTCAGCATATCAAAGAACCCTAAAAATTCAATTTTTGTTAAAATCAAACTAAGTTTAATTTTGGACCCTTTGGACCTTTATGTAGACCAATTTGAAAATGGAACCAAAAATTTAAGAATCTAAATACACGGTTAGATTCAGCATATCAAAGAACCCCAATAATTCAATTTTTGATGAAATCAAACAAAGTTAAATTTTGGACCCTTTGGACCTCAATGTGAACCAATTTAAAAACGGGGCCCAAAATCCAAAAACTTAATACACGGTTATATTCAGCATATGAAAGAACCCCATATATTCAATTTTTGTTGAAATCAAACAAAGTTAAATTTTGGACCTCGATTTGGACCAACTTGAAAACTGGGCCCATAATCAAAAATCTAAATACATGGTTAGATTCAGCATATCAAAGAACCCCATATATTCAATTTTTGTTGAAATCAAATAAAGTTTAATTTTGGACCCCGATTTGGACCAACTTGAAAACTGGGCCCATAATCAAAAATCTAAATACATGGTTAGATTCAGCATATCAAAGAACCCCATATATTCAATTTTTGTTGAAATCAAACTAAGTTTAATTTTGGACCCTTTGGACCTTTATGTAGACCAATTTGAAAACGGAACCAAAAATTAAGAATCTAAATACACGGTTAGATTCGGCATATCACAGAACCCCAATAATTCAATTTTTGATGAAATCAAACAAAGTTAAATTTTGGACCCTTTGGACCTCAATGTGGACCAATTTAAAAACAGGGCCCAAAATCCAAAAACTTAATACATGGTTAGATTCAGCATATTAAAGAACCCCAAGAATTCAAGAATAAAACCCCATTGAAATTGATCAAGAAATAAGCAATTTATACAAAGTATATTCTTTTGCACAATACTGTGCAATTGAATATTTCTTGCTATTGCGCAATACTGTACAATTGACAATTTCTTGCTATTGCGCAATATTGTGCTATTGGATATTTCTTGCTATTGCGCAATACTGTGCAATTGAAGATTTCTTGCTATTGCGCAATACTGTGCAATTGAAGATTTCTTGCTATTGTGCAATACTGTGCAATTGAAAATATCTTGCTATTGCACAATACTTATTGTATAATAATTTACACATCCTGTTTGGTGTGTATTTCCTACCATATCATTATTATTTGCTTTTAAATATAAATCAGAAATAACCAACTTAAAATGGAAAATTTTAAAAGAAAAAAAAAAGGAAAAAAAGAAAAAAAAAAGAACCCCCCCCCCCCCCAAATTTTTTGAACCCCCTTATGATTCATCACCCCCAAACTCAATCCCAGCCTTCCCTTTGTGGTATGGTATCTTGCAGTATAATTTCAGAGATATCCATACAATTGAACACAAGTTATTGTCTGGAAACTAGAAAAATGCTTATTTTTGGCCCCTTTTTGGCCCCCAATTCCTAAACGTTTCGGGCAATTACCCCCAAACTCAATTCCAGCTTTCCCTTTGTGATATGGAACCTTGTAGTACAATTTAAGAAATATCCAAACACTTACACACAAGTTATTGTCATGAAACTAGAAAAATGCTTGTTTTTTGCCCCTTTTTTGGCCCCTTATCTTAAAATTTTGAGGCAATTACCCCCAAAATCAATTACAGCCTTCCTATGTGATATGGAACCTTGTGGTACAATGTCAGAGAGATCCATACACTTACACACAAGTTATTGTCTGGAAGTTACAAAAATGCTTATTTTTGGCCCCTTTTTGGCCCCTAATTCCTTAACTGTTGGTACCATAACCCCCAAAATCAATCCCAACCTTCCTTTCATGGTATTGAACCTTATGGTAAAATTTCATGGAGATCCATTAACTTAAACTAAAGTTAGAGTGCGAAAACTAATGTGTCTTCGGACGACGACGATGACGACGACAACGACGACGACGACGACGCCAACGTCATACCAATATACGACCAAAAAATTTTCAATTTTTGCGGTCGTATAAAAACAAGAATGTGTCCATAGTACACGGATGCCCCACTCGCACTATCATTTTTTCTGTTCAGTGGACCTTGAAATTGGGCATTAAAATTAGAAAGATCATATCATAGGGAATATGTGTACTAAGATTCAAGTTGATTGGACTTCAACTTCATCAAAAACTACCTTGACCAAAAACTTTAACCTGAAGCGGGACAGACAAACATTTGGTTTAGGCAAACTTAAGTTAGAGAATGGAAACAAAAAATTCGGCAATTTTTCCATTTGTAATGGGGCATAACTCTAGAACGGTAAAAGTGACGCCACCAAAATTCAAACTTTCATCTGTTTTGTGGTAATCAGCATTGTGTATAAGATTCATTATATTTGGTTGAGGCAAACTAAAGTTAAAGAAATTTGATTCTTAGTTCCCATTAAATTCTACACGAAATCTAAAACTTGTCTTACCAGCTGATGCTCTCAAAGCCAAGTGCTGATAAACCTGTTTCATTCTTTCAGTGTTAACTTTACTGACTTCAGCATGATTCACCATTGGTAATGGATAGTCTTTGCCAATGATACATTTAGCAGCTTTCTGTACACTTTCTGGAGCATTCCAGGGCTCATAGATGTATTTTGGTGGAAAAGCCTTAAGCACTGGTAAATATTTTCTGGAATATGAAAATAATTTATAATACTGATGGCTGTTTCATGTACACTATAAAATAATTGTGCTTTTTGGAATATTTCACCATGGTGGATTGACAATTCAGATAAAATGTAGTTTCACTAAATAATTAAAAACATAATTCATTTCTTTTTCAATTACCTGAAAATTAGTAAAGTTTACCAATAAGGCAGGTATTTGTTTTATAATGGGTATGCCTATGGGATATAATTGTGATAAAAGATTAGAATCTAATAGGTTATTTGATTGAGAATGGATGCTAATAGCTGGAACCAACGTAATGTGAATAGCCTAAATTGATCCCTTGGCAAGGTTCTTTAACCATACAAAATGAACTGATAAATGACCAATAATTTGATAATTCAATACAGAATAGAAATTGTACTCTTATTTAACTTGTTTGAAATAATGGACACACACATTCATTAAGTTGATTGATATTTAGTATGGTTTTGTTTGTGACGGTCTCAAATATTTGTTGTTGTTGCACAAAGTGATACCAATGACTGGTTTGAACAGCTATTATAGAATTTAGGTTACTGTTTATATAACTACCTGATGAAGTCACCACTGGGATCAGCTCGTCTACCAAACCCAACAGGACAATAACAATGGAAAAATTGTTGAAAAAATGAACTACATGATAACCACATCCACGTCCCTGCATTCACACTCCAATCAGCATCTAATAATAACTCATCAAAAACCTAGAAAAGACATAACAAAACATGGTTAAAATAGTGCATATTAGTTTTATACAAAACTGACAAAGTGATGCCCCCGCACTCCACTCTGAAGTAACTGTATCATAACAAAGTCAATGTAGAACTTTCTTTGAGATTTTATTGTGTCTCTGAGACACAACTGATGCCCCCGCAGATGCAAAGTGTTATTTAAAAATAAGTTCAACTCTCTCCCAAAAATGCAAATATTAACAAGTGAAACTGCAAGCTTCTGCTCACTGATGATACCCCTGCCCAAATATGCATTTGGAATATTTAAATAGTTATTGTACAATGATGTAAGTGTTCGGTAAACAGGAAGTTGTTGAGTGATGAATCTGAAAATGCATCACACGGTATAGCTGACTCATATAAACCCTGAAACAAAATTTCAGAAATCCTTGTAATGTAGTTCCTGAGAAAAATGTGAAGAAAATTTTCAACTTGGATGTCATGTGTAAAATGATGTAAGTGTTCGGTAAACAGGAAGTTGTTGAGTGATGAATCTGAAAACGCATCACACTTTATAGCTGACTTATATAAACCCTGAAACCAAATTTCAGAAATCTTTTTTAAAGCAGGGGTATAATAAAAATCAAAACCCTGATCACATGCACACCTTCAATATATGTACAAACAGCCAGCAAAGTGAAAACTTCCTAGCATTCAAACTGTAGGAAGAGTTATCTGGAATAACTATATACCCATAATAGGACGGACGGAGGGAAAGACTGACGGAAGGACGGACAGGGGTAAAACAATATGCCCCCAACTTTCAGTTGCGGGGCATAAAAAGAAAGATGGACACTATTTTGTTGAAGTCTGACTAAAAGTATTGTTTTTATTTTATTTCAAATGAAATGGAGGAAACCCCAATGGAGATTACATCTAAAGGTAGATGGGGGTCTAAATTAAAAACAAAGATTTTTTTTTTAATAATTTGACCAAAATGTAGTTTATATAATGCTATTTTTAATAAACTGCTTCGCTGAGCGCAGCTGGATACGCCCGCAGAGGTCCAACCCTGAACAGTTGGGGCAAAAATGGACACAATATTCAAGCTTGATACAGGTCTGAATTTGGATTGTAATTAAATATTTGACATATTATAGGTTTCTGAATATTTGTAGTCAAAGAACTTGAAATCGGTTATATGAATTGAATTTATATTCAATTAAAGATTTCTTGCTGTTGTGCAATACACTGTGCTGTTGCGCAATACTTAGTAAATCTGTTCTCAGACTATAAACAAATAAATTTCAATTAATTCTCAATGTCATATTAGAAATTTATGAAAACCAAAAGGGAGCTTACATCAATAGATATAAACAATTCACAAAGTTTCATGAGAATTGCTGACAGCATTTTTGAGTTATTGTCCGAAAACTGTAAAATCCCCCCTTTTTTAATGAATAAAACCCCATAACTCAGAAATGTAAAATTTATAAAATTCTAGAAGGAGCTTACATCAATAGATATAAACAATTCAACAAAGTTTCATAAGAACTGCTGAAAGCATTTTTGAGTTTTTGTCTGAAATCTGGAAAATCCCCCTTTTTTTATGAATAAAACCCTGTAACTTGGAAACGTAAAATCTAAAATTTATAAAAATCCAAAGGGAGCTCATGTCAATAGATATAAACAATTCACCACAATGTCTTGCAAGTTGGTGACAGCATTCTTGAGTTATTGTCCGAAAACTGGAAAATCCCCCTTTTTTTAATGAATAAAACCCCATAACTCGGAAACATAAAATCTAAAATTTATAAAAAACGAAAGGGAGCTCATGTCAATAGATATAAACAATTCACCAAAATTTTATGCAAATTGGTAAAAGTGTTTTTGAGTTAATGTCCGACATGTTGACGACGGTCGGGCAGACGGACAACGGTATACCATAATATGTCCCGTAAACGGGCGTATAAAAAGGTAAATTCATGGTACATTCCTTTTAAAAAAAATAATTATCTGACTTATCTACCCTGATATAATTTAGTTTAATAATTTTGAATCAATGGAAAAAATTTTCTGATTAAAAAAAAAGATACATCCATCCAGAAAATCCCTCAAGATATAGTTGTTTAAAAGCCTATCATTAAAGAAACCCACCATAACAATGGAAAGGATGTGTGCTTTAAAAAACATTTTGCAGCTATAAAATTAAATACCTGGTATATGAATAACTTATCAAGTAGCAATGAAAAATAATTCAGTTTATTAATAACTACCTTCATGCCTTCCTCCCATGATATCCACAGGTCACCTCTAGTCAGGAAACATGCAACAGAATGTCGTGCAAGATGATGTATCCATCCCACCTGTCGTAACTGTGTCATTATTGCATCTATCCATGGAAACCCTGTTTTGCCCTAAAATGTCAAATAAGGTAGTCAGCCAAAGTATTCAGATTTTTATTTCTCCTGTTTTGTTTTTCAATGTCTTTTTTTGTTGTTTTTGTGATTGTTTAAAAGCTTACATTATTTTTTCATTTTTTTTAACTTATCTAAACTTAGAAAATTTGAAATGATTGTACAAATAAGAATATGTATCCATTGGACACCATGCCCTGCCAACAAAAAAATGTTTCAAGTTGATGTGACCACAATTCCATGATAAACTTTCTTAATCCCAAGTTAAACCTGATAAGGGACGGAGGAACAGAGGAAAGGACTAACAGACAGATGGACAGAGCAGAAAACAATATGCCCCTCTAGAAACATATGATGTGAAAATATTAATGGGTCACCAAATTGGTTTCAAGTCTTAAATCATTTAAATTTTAGTTATGCATAAAAAAACATATACAATTATGTAGTCATATTTATTTACCTCTGCCCATTTTGCTAATGCTTCTGGATTTTTATCCCATGGAACCTGTACACATATTGGATTATCTACCATCTGGTCAAAGTTGGGATTATTTGTTGCAGCAGAATAAAAGAACTCTCTCCATAGCAACTGCCCATGTAACGATAACGGTGGATCACTCCGTTTCTTCACCTGAATGAAATCAATATATCTTAATAACCAAATTTTCTCATATTGATTAAATCGTAGCCAGGATTACACATCTTTTGAGCTGATTTTGCCTGAAAATCTGCATATTAGTATACATTGCATCATTGATTCATGGTAAATACCTGTTGGTATTATCAAGAGAGCAAACAATGTTTTACTGATAACAATTAAATTTGATGTTGAAAGCTTTTATAAAGATCAAGGTCTCGCATAAACTTAATACACTTTTTGTATCTGGTCTATAGTTTCTCTCTTCTCCAAACTACATCTTTCTTCTTAACATATGCTGAAAACACTAGGATGTTTGTACAGTTGAAATATATTAACATGAAAAGTTTATAATGAACATGGCCTTATAATTAGAAATCTACAGAATATTCTGTTGTATGCATGTGCAGTCTTCACCCTCAGCCACAATCCCAGCTGCCTAGGCTTTTGATTACTATCCGGCCATTATGAATTACTTCTACAGGCCAATAGAATTTAAACAAAATTTTCCAAAAATTGAGCGTAGAAGGACTATGGCTGCAAAAGTTAATCGTTGCTGCATGTGTTGATCTACAGTGTTATAATTACCTTTCTAAACAATTCCCTCAGCTTCCAGTAAAGAGTTCGGGAAGACAAACAACCAAACCTCAGGTAGGGACTTAATGCTGTCTGACTTGGAAACAGTGACTGTGTGGTCATTTTTGGCTTCTCAAAACTGGCAACCCATGCCTGCAATAATATTCATTCATAAATAAACCATGCTTAAGATTTAAAATGAAATATAAGGTACTGTTGTCTGTCTTTCTTTTCTTTTGGTCCTGGTGTCTTTCTCTAAAGTATGTTTTTTTAATGTTCACTTGATAATTCTCCCCCTTTTGTTAGTTTTATTGATGATTTTTCATACCTTATTTGGGAATGTTTATTCCATGGTCTTTTACTCCAAAGTTAAAATTACCAAGAAGCAGGGTGCAGATTAATGGATTATAGATATAGAGTACAGTCAAATCTGTATATAAAAGTCACTGTTAGGACAAGAAAAAAAAAAGACCTTATAAGAGAGGTGATGTTCAAAATTAAATAATGACAAGCAAAATGACGAAGTTTACCTTATTTTTCTTTTAAATGTTATCTGGACATTCACACTTCAATGAACTTTGAGTGTTAATGAAGTGTTAATTGATTATTAGTTAGAAAACTTGATAAATTAATAACAAATTACAAAATCCAATTAAGTTACAAAACAGCTGTCATGTGATAAATGTCAATGAGTAATTACATTTATCATGTTTATGTAAGTTATCAAATTAGATTATGTGAGGGCTGTTCCATTAAAACATACAGGGTACCCAGGGTAGGTACTTTGAAAATATGTTACCAACAATATAAGCCATTTTCAATTTACAAGTTTATCACTGTACAAAATAAAATGCTCCACTGGGTGCAGCTTGATACGACCGCAGAGGTCGAACCCTGAACAGTTGGGGCAAGTATGGACACAACATTCAAGCTTGATACAGCACTGAATTTGGATTGTAATCAAATATTTGACACAGCATAGGTTTCTGACACAGAATGAATGTGGTCTAAGAACTTAGAAATTTTTAATTTACCTATTCAAACCATATCATTATTATTTGCTTTTATATATAAATCAGAAATAACCAATTTAAAATGGAAAATTCTAAAGAAAAAAAAGGAAATAAAAATCCCCCCCCCCCAAATTTTTTGAACCCCCTTATGATTCATCATCCCCAAACTCAAGCCCAGCCTTCCCTTTGTGGTATGGTACCTTGCAGAACAATTTCAGAGAGATCCATACACTTGAACACAAGTTATTGTCTGGAAACTAGAAAAATGCTTGTTTTTTGGCACCTTTTTGGCCCCAAATTCCTTAAAGTTTAGGGCAATTACCCCTAAACTCAATCCCAGCTTTCCCTTTATGATATGAAATCTTGTAGTACAATTTCATAAAGATCCATACACTTACACACAAGTTATTGTTCTGAAACGAGAATAAAATGCTTCGCTGGGGCGCAGCTTGATACGACCGCAGAGGTCGAACCCTGAACAGCTGGGGCAAGTATGGACACAAAATTCAAGCTTGATACAGCTATGACTTTGGATTGTCATTAAATATTTGACACAGCATAGGTTTCTGACACAGGATGAATGTGGTGTAAGAACTGGAAAAAATTTAATTTACCTATTATGGTGGAATATCCATAAACTAAATTGTTTGTTAATTTCAATATATCAAAGAATATGTAGAATTCAATGTTTGATGTAATGTAATAAAGTTGAAATTTGGACCGTTTTTGTTCAATGTGGACCAATTTGGTAACATGTATAAATAATCAAAAATCTAAATACATGGGAGCCCATTTAAATACATCATAAAGGTATTAAAATAGAAAGTGACATCATAGTCATGGCTAAAAATAAACAAAAATCCTTAATCAGCAACATTTAAAGTAATATCTAAAAATAAAATTCCTTTGTAACCATAAAAGCCCATTTAAATACATCATAAAGATATTAAAATAGAAAATGACATCATAGTCATGGCTAAACATAGCAAAAAACCCTTAATCAGCATCATTTAACAGTAATATCTAAAAATGGAAATTACATCATAAAGGTATTAAAATAGAAAATGACATCATAGTCATGGCTAAAAATAAACAAAATCCTTAATCAGCATCAGCAACATTTTATAGTAATATCTAAAAATAAAATTCCTTTGTAACCATAAAAGCCCATTTAAATACATCATAACAGATATTAAAATAGAAAATGACATCATAGTCATGGCTAAACATAGCAAAAACCTTAATCAGCATCATTTAACAGTAATATCTAAAAATAAAAATTTCTTTGCAACCATAAAAGTAAAATAGAAAATGACATCATAATCATAGCTAAAAATAAACAAAAATTTTTTTATTGGCAAATTTTAAATGGAGTTTATTATACTAAAACAATAAATTTGCAACCATAAACATGATAAAACCCCATTTAAACACATCATAAAAGTATTAAATAATTCAACTACATCATAAGGCTATAAAAATAGAAAATGACTTCATAGTCAAGGCTAAAGGTAAACAAAAAACCTTCATCAGCAAAATTTTATATTGGCAAATTTCCAATGAAGTTTATTACACTAAAATTGTTGGCAAATTTCCAATGCATTTATTAACAATAAAGTTATTGGCAAATTTCCAATTTACATAATTTAAAAGCAGTGTAGATGAGATATTTAAATGAGTTTGAATTACCAACCTTACACTGCTTTTAAATAATGTTCTTTACTCAATTATTTGTCTATTAAAATGGAAACCCTTGTTTTTTAACCTTTTTCCCCTTATTCCTTAAACATTAGAGCCATAACCCCCCCCCCCCCCCCCCCCAAAGCCAATTATTACTTTCCAATGTAACCTAAATTTCCAATATACATAATTTTAAATTTCAATTCCTCATGATATATAACCGTATCATTATTATTTTCTTTCATATATAAATCTGAAACAACCATCTTTAAATGGAATTAAAATTTTAAAGAAAAAAAAAGGAAAAAAAAAAATCCTACCTCCCACACATTTTTCAACCCCCTTTTGATTCATCATCCCCCACCTCAATCCCAACCTTCAATTTGTGGTATGGTACATTGCAATACAATTTCACAGAGATCCATACACTTGAACACAAGTTTTTGTTGCAAACTAAAAAAATCCTTATTTTTGACCAATATTTGGCCCCTTATTCATAAATGTTTGAGCAATTAACCCCAAAACTCAATTCCTACTTTCTCTTCGTGATAAAAAATAACTAACTTAAAATGTAAATTTTAAACAAAAAAAAAAGGAAAAAAAAATTACCCCTTTTTTGACCCCCGCCCCCCTTATGATTCATCACCCCCACCCCCCTTTCCCCCCAAACCAAGCTCAATAACAGCCTTGCCTTTGTGGTATGGTACCTTGTAATACAATTTTAGAGAGATCCATACACTTGAACACAAGTTATTGTCTAGAAACTAAAAAATGCTTATTTTAAACCCCTTTTTAGGCCCCTTATTACTAAACGTTAACATTAAAACACCAGTTTATCATTTGTATCATTTGGAGTTTAATTAGAATATGCATCAAAACATTTACATCATTAAGCTTACCTTTCTCTCCAAATGTCTCTCTAATCTGGCTAATGCTTCTGTTTCACCACCTCTGAAGATTGTTGGTCCAAGACCTTCGGTGTCAAAACCTACAGTAAAATAGCCATGTTCAGGAATGGTTTTTGGACAATAGTTCATTCATAAAATAAATCGTTCACTTGAGTACTGTGAACAAACTTATTTTTGCAGATTCTTTATTTTGCATTCAGTCCTTTCTAGCAGACTTCATGGTTTTCTCATTTTCTTGATTTATTTATACAAGGAAAGATCGAAGTTAACATATTAACGTTATTTTTCTACTTGGGAAATTAAATTACTTGGTTTACAGTATAACTTTTTCCAAACAAATACATAATAAAAAAAACAAAGGATATGGGTATCCATCAATGACATAAAATCAGTAAATAGTTAACAATTTAGACTCCATGACCTTTTCTACCAGTTTTTTGCAAAATTTGGTTTCTTCTCCAGTTTTTCTCGACATTTCAGAATGAGTTGTATTTTCTGATTTGGGCTTTATTTGTAGAGGTTTGTAAACTATTCTTTACATACAGATATCAGGAGTTAACAGTAGAGCAACATTCATTTCAAAGATATTTTTTTTATCCTCAACTACATTCAAATTCACCCGATAATACAGTGAACACTTTCCTCTTGTAAATTTGCAATATCAAAAATAATTGAATGCAGTTATTATTGGTTGCCGATCAATAAAAAAACAATTAAAAAAAATAAGTGGAAATAAAAAACATATTTAATTTTGGTACAGTTGTGCACCTTCTTCCTTCATCAATACAGCTGTTACTTTGTAACACAACAAAAAACATTGAAAATAGTCATTAGTATTACATTTTGCCCTTTTCCCAGTACCTGCATGTACACATATGTGCTTGTTTTCACCAAAAGTCATGATATACATAAACATTATATCAATTATTGCTTGAAAATGTAAGAAAGTTTATATACGTCATACTAGTATACAAACCTAGTTCTTCAAGTGATGGTACACCAAACTTGTCATCATGATCTTCTGAAATTGGTGTTTTGGTATGACCAATGAATTGTCTAGTGATTGTGTCTTCTGGCTGTTTGGGTGGGTCCATCTTTGAAAGAATAGCTTGGAATCGTTTGTATGTGAGAGGAGGTACACCATTATTAAAGCTTATTATCCTAAAAGAAAAATTAGATTTTGAATTAAATAAAATGTAACAAACAATAAACAAGGATGTGTGGAGCAATCTTCATAAAATAATATAAAAGATGTCAACTGATCAACTCACTCAATTACCGTTCCTACTCGCTTATTAGTCGGAAAATTGGGAGTAATATTCATAATCCAGAGAGGGGGACCGACTAATAGACGAGATCTAGCGACCAGAGGAAAAATCCAAGCTTGAGAAAAGTGGTCAGGAGTGAATTTCCTGTTCAAAACTACGTTTTTGATTGCCAAACTTACATAAATCAATAAATAAAAAGTTTTTGTTGAAAATAAATGACTACAATACTGTCTTTGTGTTTTATTTGTTCTTTGGTAAACATTTTCTGCAAATTCGTGTTGAAATTCTACTGTTTCCGGTTTGTGTATTGATTTTCATGGTCACATGGTTTTCCTATAAACCCAAAAGAAGAGCCAAGAACCAAAATTGAAAAGGAGATAACAATGTACCAAATATGTGAAAGGATGTTTTCAGCGGAGTTATTGTGTCATTATTGTGATATCATGATATCAATTCAATGCTTATAAATCATATAATAATCAAAAAATAATTTTAAGATTCATTCCCAAAATCAAAATATTATTCATTAAAGTGTCTCAGGCAAACAAAAATTACAAAATTGATTGACAAGCCAATATAATCCATTGATAACCCCAATTAAGAGACAAAGAGTTGTATTTACTAAAGGTGTGAAAACTATCAGTGATAGGTAAATAGATGACACTAATGAGTTGGAGTTAGTTATTTTAATATATTGATTAGCTTCACTTAATTTTTTTAATCCTTTAATCATCACAATATAATAAGAATTATGAAGTGTACATGCTCATTTAACACCGAGTTATGTATGCTGTGAAAAATATTTTCATCAAGTGTTGATTGACTTTAAATTTTTCAGGTTCATATTGGTTTATATTCGCTTTTCTCAAACAATAGGTTGTTAGTCATACCCTACAAAATCATTGATGCATTACGTAAACAACACATGGCTAATCTAACATTTGAACAGTGAACAAAACAAGAGAAATGAATACATCTTTATTATTAACAGCAATATAAATTATCATGATGAGCATCAACTAAATTCAAACCAAACAAACATTAATGCAGAAATGAATATTATTCCTGGATTTGCATTGGTTTTACCGGCGTTCAGTTACTGTCAGCTGAAAAAAAAATGCCCAAATTTTGTCCGACTTATACGAGGGTCAAGACAAAATCCTTAGAATTTGGAGCTGAAAAGGGCCCCTGACTTATAGTAGGATCGACTATTAGGCGAGTTTATACGGTATCTCAATTCTTACACATACAAACTAATTACCACAGTAGTCCTACAGTAGTGCACATGTATCAGATAAGGGGTGGGATATTGTGAGTTCATTCCCTAGTTGTGTAAAAACAAAGACTAATTATAGTTTGGTTGAGTTCCTTGTAACTTAGCATGGTAAAAATTCACCTTAGTATGTTGGACTACTGGTAGTACAAGTATGGTTCATATTTTCTTTCTGAATAAGCTTGAAAGATAACCGGTTTGATGTTTTAAAATATCAATCCATCTAGCTCACTGCAGCATTATTACCTTTTGGCAATTGCACATAACAGGAATAGTTAGGAACTTTACAACATAATAAAGATCAATTCAGGCTCAAATGGCATAAAATCAATATGATGGTTAATGATCAAAATGAAAATGAACTGAGTTAAATGCATGATCAAATATAAAGATAACCTCTAATTCCTATACTTACAAAGTTTGTAATCAGCTGAATTCAATACAATGGCAAAATTATATGAAATACAACAGACACACAATTCAAAAAGAGTTTGCAGATTTATAAATTTCACAATTAAGGGCTTGGAAGAACTAATTGTTTTTAATATTCTTACTTTTGTAATTCATATAATGTATGTGAGGTTCTGACAATGACTTCTACACCGGCTTCCTTGGCTAAATGTCTTATAGCAGCATCCCTTTCTTTACCAAATGGTTCTGGATCCTCCTCAAAGGACAAAGTTGTGATGTTCCATTCCTACAAATAAATTTCAAGACTAATTAAAATATATCAACACAGATGAATGTAATTTTATTCTTTATAGGAGTCATCATCCTTTAAAGTTTCTTTTTACCCAATTTCAGCATATAATGCCAAAACTATAATAGATAAAGAAACAGAAAACAGAAAAAAATTATCAGCAATACAAGAAGATCAACAAAAAGAGATATCAGTCATAAACTTTATTCTACTCTTTAATGTTAGTGTGTGGCCATTGTTGAAAATGCACAGATACAGGTGAGCCTGTAGTTAAGCTTTCAAAAACAAAAAATTACTTGCATAAATGTACATATCCTTTTAATTCAAAATGTAGTTTTATTTAACATTGATTCATAGTAAATAAACTGCTTCGCCTAGCGGAGCTGGATAAGACTGCATAGGTCCAACCCTGAACAGTAAATGCAAAAATGCACACAATATTCAAGCTTGATACAGGCCTGAATTTGGATTGTAATTAAATATTTGACACATTATAGGTTTCTGACACAGAATAAATGTAGTCAAAGAACTTGAAATTGGTTATATGATTTGAATTTATCTTCAATTGAAGATTTCTTGCTTTTGTGCAATACATTGTGCTGTTGCGCAATACTTAGTAAATCTGTTTTCAGACTATATACAAAGAATTAGTAAAATAAATTGTGACCCTCAATTTTTCTTTTTTCTTTGGAAAATTGACAATTTCTTAAATCTTGAGGGAAAAAAATTGACCCCCCCAAAATCATTTGAAGAAATTTTTTATTTGTAAAAAGTGGTACAATTTAAGAAAATTTGATACACTTAAACACAAGTTATTGCCTGAAAATTAAAAAAATGCTTGTTTTAGACCCTTTTTGGCCCCTAATTCCTGGACGGTTTGGGCAAGTACCCCCAAAATGAATCCCAACCTTCTACTTGTGGTATTGAACCTTGTGTTACAATTTCAGAGCAATCACAATACTAATACACAAGTTACTGTCCTGAAACTAGAAAAATGCTTGTTTAGGCCCCTAATTCCTAAACAGTTGGGACCATCACCACCAAAAACAATCCCAACCTTCCTTTTGTGGTATTGAACCTTTTGGTTAAATTTCATAGAGATCCATACACTTAAACTAAAGTTATTGTCTGGAAACCAAATGTCTTCGGACGACAACATGATAGCATTATACGATCCAAAAAATTTTCTTTAAAACAAAAAAAAACAAAAACTTGTTGCAAGACGGATGATCATTTGCTTCATTTGTACATAAGCAACTGTACATGTAAAAAAAGATTCTCTTATCATTTTATTTTACCTTTCTAATCTCTGAAAAGCTATAATTAATCAAAAGTCGCATCTAGAATTTGACTTTAGTAGATTAGATTGTAATTATTACCCTAAATATTCTAGGGAAGACATCTGTTGGTTGTCCTCTAATGACAAAAAGTCGAGAGTTCAGTTTCCTTAATGCAGCATCTAAATCTTCTAAACACTGCAGCAAAAATCTGAAAAACACAAATTAAGCTTTGTTATGATTGTCTTACAACACATGTCAGAAGTTTCTTTATTAAAAAAAAACATTGAAAAAATCTGCACTCAAATGCTTGCAACTTATTACGTATATGCATCCTCTCAATTCACCTTTCCTGTACATTCCTTTCTTTCAATGTTTTTGAAATATCGTTGATCTGTTCTTTGTTTTAAATGATTGTTTCTGACTTTAGCCTTAACAAGTCAGTGTGATATGAAGATTACATGGCTTTGTCAACTGTGTGTAGGAATTTGGTGCCTTGAATCAATATAACATATTCCTTCTTGTACACTGCTTTAAAATACAGAAATACGTTATAGTTTATAGAACAGATATTAATGAGGGAAAAAACTAATTTTAAGGTGTATACAGTGTATATTACTGCTTATACTATTTAATTGATATACATGATGATGGCCACAGGCTTATTTGTTAATGTTACTGCTTATAATATTTAATTGATACATGATGATGGCCACAGGCTTATTTGTTAATGTTACTGCTTATAATATTTAATTGATACATGATGATGGCCACAGGCTTATTTGTTAATGTTACTGCTTATAATATTTAATTGATATACATGATGATGGCCACAGGCTTATTTGTTAATGTTACTGCTTATAATATTTAATTGATACATGATGATGGCCACAGGCTTATTTGTTAATGTTACTGCTTATAATATTTAATTGATACATGATGATGGCCACAGGCTTATTTGTTAATGTTACTGCTTATAATATTTAATTGATACATGATGATAGCCACAGGCTTATTTGTTAATGTTACTGCTTATAATATTTAATTGATATACATGATGATGGCCACAGGCTTATTTGTTAATGTTAACTGTTCGTCAGCAAAAGATGAGGGTCTCTCAGTTGTAATGGTTGTATGTATATGGTGTTTTTTAATTTACCTTACACCCAGTTTGTAATGTCTAGGAAACAAACAGGTTTTAAAACTTGGTTTATACTGTGTGTATAATATACATGTATATTTTCACAATTTGTGAATATTATTTTTACAACATTTAATCAGCACAAAAAACAAATTGGTCTACAATGTACAAATACAAATATACATGTACACTATGTTTTAGTTTGTATTACCTAATTATTCATGTTTTTATTTACATGTACTGAATTAATTAGGATTATTATCTAATTGTTCATACAATGTTCATTATAATGATAATTGATAGTAGAAATATATAATATGATAGTAGAAATATATAATATGCAACTAGAAAGTAATTCAATCAGTATTGTTTCTTCAAAATACTGTTAGCTGGATTTTTTATACTATTTGATAAATTTGTTTGGCAAGCTGGAAACCTTCTTTTTACAGCAGTAGTCTGTAGCTAATTACTGTTATATTTAGTTATTGGCATGCTTATACATGTTATAAGGAAGATAGGAACTATACCAATATAGATAGAATTCTTTATACTTTGCCAAATATAGTTTATATTATTTGCCAATTTCAAAAATACAATAAAAAGTTTGGGTCACATATATATTTCTTATCAAGCTATAGGTTGTGAAAATCATTAAATTTTGTAAGGATTATACATGGAAAAACAATTTTAGTATGAAAAGGAAGAAACCTACTCTTACATGTACAATGTATGATGTGCTTTTTACTTTCAGAGAATTAACATGATTAACTAAAAGAAAAATTGGGGTCCCCATATGTAATATCTTGATACAAAACCATGAAAACAATTGGCAATTTCCTAACTTTCCTTTATAAAATGAAATTGTCTGAGTTATCTCCCCTTATATAAGTATTAGACAGTTCAATATTTAAAAATAAAAATTAAAATTCTGCATTTGTTAAAATTATGTTGTAAATAATAAAATAAATCATAAAACTTTCCAGTTTAAATGAAAAGTCTTACAAATGCATTGCATTCCTGTCTCAAAATCTGCATATTTCATTAAGGTTCTAGACTGATTGTTTTCAATTCAGATGGCAGAAGATGCAGCAATCTATCTTAAAATGTTTAACAAAATAAATAAATTTATGTAAATATATTCAAAACTCTATGACTGGACAAATTCAGAAACCAACAGTAGATCCAAGACGAACTTTTTAAGCAGAAAATAAAAGCATTGAAGTATATAATAATAATGTGACTGAGTAGGTTTTAAGTAGGATACAATTGGCTTACACAACAAGCTAAATTTATCATCTAGAGATTGTTTAATGCTTCCTGATGGCTATAATTTCTATAAATGCTATACTTATACAGCTAATTTGCAGTGCAGTTATGTCAGATAGTAGTATTGCATTATTTTTATATCCCACCTCATTATGCAAACCAACATCATTATTCAGAAACCTATTTTTTTTAATTTTGAGACAAGTCAAGGGGATTTATTGAAATAAGATATTTTTCTGTGCTCAGTTTATTTTAATTTACATTTATACTAAAGAATCTTGCATTAAGTTACACTTGTAAATGACTGTCACATGCATAAGTAATTTAAAAATCATTTATTTAAGGAGATATATCTTGAAACCGTTTTTACCATTTATGTCATACAAGTAGTTTAAGGGGCATTAACTCTTTGAGAATAGTTATTGCTTAAATATATCCTGAATTTTAGGATACAACAATAAATTGGTAATTGTTAAATGTAGATAACTACCCATTTATTATTGTCCCATAAAATTCCTTAATTTCCTTACAACTATCAAATAACAAATCTGATTACATATTTCAAATCATCATTAAACCCTTACATCCTCATCACTTGGTCTCTGGTGGACAGTTGTCTTATTGACTATCATACCACATCTCCTTATTTTTACATGTATCAATTGATACAAAAGCTAGGTAATATGTTACAAAAGTTACTGAAAGGATCAGCTGTCCAGGTGATTGCAGTATACATGATATGCCATCCACTTTGTGTGTAGAGGTAGGAATAGGAGTAACAACTCTATCTAGGAGTGGAAATAATATATTTGAAAATGCTAGGTATACAATGTAGCTTTATAAAAATAAGGAGATGTGGTATGAATACCAACAACAAAACAGTTGAGTGAGTAAGTTGAACTATCCACCAGATTTCAAATGAAATGGATGTAAGCAATTAGAGACCACTGTAAGACCTTCAACAATGAGAAAAACCCATACCGTATAGTCGGCTATAAAAGGCCACAATATGAAAAATGTGTAACAATTAATCAACCAAGAAAAATAATGGTCTAGTTTATAACAAAACAATTTAAGAAAAACAAATACATGCACAACATGTACAGTTTCACAGACATGAACCAATGACAATCACTGAACTACAGGCTCCTGACTTGGGGAAGTTGCATAAAGAATGTGCCATTTAGGCACCAATCCCATGCATTAAAAATATTGAAAAATTATCACCTTACTATTAACTTTCACACAAATCCTGTTTTATTGTAGATTCTCCTCTGTCATTTCTGTTTGCAGATAAATGGTTTAAATTTTGATCTTGTAAATTAACAAGACATACATGTAGGAATAGAATAGATGATTTGGCGTCAAAATGTTTTCAGATGTCATTAAAGTAACAAATACATTTTATACATTATAATAATATATAGAGTAGTACATAAACTATCTCCTTCTTGGACTCCCTATTTACATGTAACAAGAATAGGCGAGTATAATGTACATCTCAAAGAGAATGTTATAAAATCTGCCTTAAATTCCTTTATACATGTACAAAAAAATGTAAGCTTAGTAATTTTACGAATAAAGCTGATATCTGGACACTTTCAAATGCCTTTTGGATTGAAAAAAAAATTGTCGAAAGAATATTCAGAGTTCTCGAAGCCTTTTTTCCCTGGTGGTCCTTGGAGAAAATTTGATGGTCCTCACTATCATTTCAATTGCAAAATAATAAAGTTTTAGTGTCAAAACCTCTGTACCACAGTGGGTTTTTTAGTTTAAATGTAACAGTAACTTGAGAGCAGGATTCCCATTACAAAATCAACTTTTTCTCCTCAAGCCAGTCAAGGACTAAAACTAGGAACCTCTGTATTACAAGTCAGCGCTGTAACCAACTGAGCTTAAGAAGTAATTTTCTAGTTCAAGCGCTTACAGATGGTTACAAGTACATGTATCTACATGTACTACTGAAGGGAAGCAATGCCGTCACACTATGAAAATAGTTTTTTAAAAACATAGTTTTATATGAAATATTTAACAAGAAAATGAAAGTGACTTATCGCATAACACTATGACACTGTATATATCACATCAACAATGTCAAGGATTTGTTGAGAATTGAACATGTATACAAATCCTTAGCAATACTAAAGCCAATACCATGAATATCTTGAACTTGAAACTTATTCGGCTACTACATAAATGTATACATGTAAAAGCTTACCTCCACTTAGCAATGCCGACTTGAGTAGATCCAGCAAACCAAGGGTCTAAAATGTACACACATCGATATGTATCGGCTCCTTTTAAAGCCTCTTTTAGTGCTGGGTTGTCGTGAAGCCTAAGTCCTTTTCTAAACCAATGTAAGATCTGCTTTTTGTTATTTCTAGGCATATTATATCCAGTCTTATCGTTTTAAGTTAAAAAATAATAGTGAAATATCAAATGTAAACTGTATAAGACGAAATGTTTCAAGAATCTAAAACCTAAACAAACAGACTTCAAACATGCTACGATCAACGTGACTTGAAAAGAAATGGTGGCTGTGGCCAAATTATTCATTCTGATTGGTTAGTTATTTTTAGAAACACGTTGCACTTGGCATTGAAAATTATCAACAGCGAAAGTAAAGCAACAAATTTTATTTGAAATCGTGCATGGAGCTTGCTCATAAATTAAAATGGAATCTGAATTCTATAAACTGTATAACAATTAAGTAATAATAATAAATAGAGGTGTTTTGTCCAGTGATGGGTCAAGAGTAATAAATCATGTTGGAAATTATTCTGCTGAGAAAGACTTGATTTTGTTTGTTAATAATCAATGTACATAATCAATATGTAATCACGTGTATGAAATTGAACTTAATTGTACTGCTCAAATTATTGGGCGTCATAATTGACAATAAAAAACTTTGTGTTTGTATTTGTTTATTATTAGGCAGTGGCTATAAGAAAATATGCTATTTTGCCCTCAGATTTTGCCGGCTCTGATTTAAATATCTTAATTGAAGCCAACAAAATAGCATATTTCTATATAGATGGCTATTTTACCGGCACCGGCAATATAGTTAATTTGATATTTTGCCGGTTCTTTGTAAAGAGTGAAATTTAATATTTACTTTTGAAAAGTAAGTACTACGAAAATGTGCCGCACTGTCAACATAAAAGAATCAAATAATTACCGATATACTGGTAGTTAAATAAGAAAAAAGCTAACAATATTTGAGATACATATAATGGTTTAAAACATTTATCAGTCAAAGTGAAAATAAGACTTTATAACAAGAAATAAAAATTAAAAATATTGGGCATCCATTTGTTGCAATGTAATCATATATCAAAACATGTAGTTGAAATTATTTCTAAAATCAGTCACAGTCTAATGCTACATGTATGCATATGAATAAAATCTCAGATTTTTTAACTGTATAAAAAAATAAAATCTCATTGCATTATAAATTTGATAAAACATTATACAATATAACAAAATCAATCACACAGCTTCAAAAATGTTTAAATTAAATTTGCTTTTGAAATAATAGTCGGTTCTTTGAATTGCATATATGTAAACAAAATAGTTTTTAACTTGACTTCCGCTTACCTAGAGCCGGCAGAATGGCATATTTTCTCTTTTTCCAGCGCCTGCAACAAATTCACTATATTGCTGGTGCCGGTAAAATATCTATTTCAGTCTATAGAAATATACTATTTTGCCGGCTTGAATTAAGATAATTTAATCAGAGCCGGCAAAATAGCATATTTTCTATTTGCTGGTGCCGGCAAAATAGCCACTGCCTTATTATTACATGTACAAATTACTTAATTTATGTGTCATTATTCTCTTTCTTTCAATTTTAAATGTAAACTCAATTAAATAAAAAAATAATCATGTTACAGACTGATTTTAATCTAGTGTTTTATATTATGTTTGGAAATTATGATTGTAATAATTCTACTCATTCTTCATTCTTGCCTTGCGTAATTGGCAAATAATGTATTCGTTGTTCAGTTGCTTATTGACCCTTTGAACAAGTCTTTATTGAATGCATTCTTTTACATTAAGACACTTTTTGTAGCACAGTTTTTAACACTTTCAACTTTAGAAATATCATTTTCTGTACAAATACATTATTTCAAATTTAAACACTTGTTTGTAGAACTTTTTAACACTTTCAGCTTTAGAAATAGAATTTTCTGTACACAAACATTTTGATGTATGACAGTTTGGCCATACATTTAGTGGTCAAGGATTTGTGTAGTATGACGTTTACTATGATTTGAAATTCTGACTAAAACAAATGCGTCCGCTTGATCCTAAACAACTCAGTGTTTTTTTTAAAACCACAACAGTAGTAAAGCAGTGACCATGCATTGAATCGGTTCACAATGCTTCGTCTATATTACCATGCTGTTCAGTTTTAAGTTTCTAATTAGATACAGGGGCCCATGCTTTGCGAATTTTAGGGGGGCGCCCGCCACGACCCCGCCTGAATCCGCCCCTGAGATAATTACGTAATATGCGTATGGTCATGACCATATGGGTACACTCTGACCATATGGGTATACTCTGACCATATGGGTATACTCACGATGGCACGAACTAATTTGATAACTAAGAATAATTTGAAATATATATAATAAGAATTTTTTGTTTACTAAGAACAAATTGAAACACCAAAATAAAGGAAAAAATGGAAAAAATGTAGGGTTGAATCCCCCTATTGCTTATCAGTAAAACAGTTGACTTCTTGGTTAACGGTTCATTTAGATATTTTTTTTTTAAGTTATTCCCGGAGTCGACATATTGTGTTTCGTAGGGAAAAATCAATAATGACCATGCAAAAATGTTTTTAATATAATTTCAACTTGTGAGTAAAATTCATTTTATTTCATTTATCATGTAACAATGATTACCAAATGATTATATAAGTCATTTTTTTTTATTAGAAACTCATAATTTATGACACATTGAAGGGTCAGCTTATGTAATTAACAGTAGAAGTTCATGTAACTGCATGTTCAACGTACATCATATACGCGTATGGTCGGACTATATGAGTATATTATTAGTTACATAGTGTGCTAGTGACCTAATACGGTATATATGGGATCAGTAAATTCCATATGGGATGAGAGCGAAGCATATATACCGTATTACGTCACTAGCACACTGTGTAACGAATTTATCTTACCGACTATCTTAACATGTGGTATTTAGACTAGTGACATATCAAAGTGAGCAAGTCTTCAATACCGTTAGCATTAAGAAACAACTTCCATTGGTCATACAGAAAAACAAATGCCAACAATAACAACTTGTTAGCTTTAAATGTGTTTTATGAATTTATTTCAATCTTTCATCATCAATTCCTTCGTCTGTTGAAACCTTAAGATTTTTTCTCAGTACCGTTTTGTTTTTATAAAGTGGGTCTAATTGGGGTCTAAGCGTGACCCGGGATTGCCGATTTTTTTGTAAGCGTGACACTTGAAAGTCAAATTAGTGTGCCTTGAAAACGGGAATTGAAATTTAGCGGGACACGGGAAATTACATAAAAATGAGAATTGCTTACGTACATAGTGTAAGCGAGATACGGAAATCTGACAAAACAGTAAGCGGGATCCGGGATCAGAACCCCCCAATGAGACCCTCTATAAAGGGACGTAACACCAATACTAACCGTGTATTGAAATAAGCCCCGCCTACTAACCTAATATGGAATATACACGGTCTCCACGCGGTTGCTTTTAACTAATCATATTCCTAGAAATGTATAGGAGGTAAGATAAATACGCATATGGTCATGACCATACGCGTATGCAAAGGGATTGTATATTTAAATATACTATTCCTTGGCGTATGGTCCAAATAGTAATATGGTCCGGAACAGGTATTTCTCGATAATAATTTGTATATATATCAGTGGCCTCCCACAGTCCAAATAATTATGACGTCTTTGAAGGCTAATTATTTTTTATTTGACACCTTTCTGCGGAGAGGGATATACTTGAAAAATTGAAAATACTCTCCTAACTGGACTAGGTTTGCCCAAATTAAACTCCAAGACGTTATAATTTTTTGGACTAACTTGACACTAATTAATAGACATGTACAAAATTACATGCAATGTGCAATGCATATTTTTTTTAACCAGGAGCTTTAACTTTAATTAAAGCCAACAGATTCTTCTAAGGGTTTTTTTTTAAATCTCATTTTTGTCACAGTTTAGGTGATTTCAAGTACGATATTTTCCGTGTAGTAATTTGTACCCATAGATGATATAAAAAAAAAGACATGCAAAGGTAACAAATTGACATAAAAAAGAATGCTAGCGAGTAAAATGTAATACAGAAGCAATAAATAATTAAATGACATTATGTCAATACTACTGACAAAATTAATTTTATTGATATAGAAATAAGAAGATGTGGTATGAGTGCCAATGCGACAACTCTCCATCCAAGTCAGAATGTGTAAAAAGTAAACAATTATAGGTCAAAGTACGGCCTTCAACACAGAGCCTTGGCTCACACTGAACAGCAAGCTATAAAGGGCCCCAAAATGACTAGTGCATATTTCCGAGGGGGGGGGGGGGGGGCATAAATGCTAGAAGGGTCGATTTGGGTCTATTTACGATGGCCATGCTCTTTGTCGTATTTGTTTTTAGATTATTGTTTGATTATAAACAAGGCCGTCGGTCAAGTTTCTCGTTTGAATATAGTTCGAACTCTGTTTGCAAGTTAAGGTTCTTAGCATTGTGTAAAAGTTTCATAAAATCATAAAATTTGGATTAGGAAAACTTGAGTGTTTAGATATACTGAAATCCTACTAATATTCTGTGATTTAGTTGCGAAGGAACTTTGTATGTTGAGTATAAATTTCACCTATTTATCGTATTTCTTGAATCACGTGTATATCATTAGTATTAAGGTAGCACAATACAAAAGCAACTAAATTTTATCAAAATTTCATTTTCAGCTGTTTTTGTTACTTCTTAATATTCAAAAACCACAGAAGAAAAAATCATTTACATATCTTGCAATGTTAATGAGTTTTGATGATAATTAGTTTTATAAACAAATGCACGTGTCTGACTGATACTTGATAAGAACATGTGGGCAGTACTATGTGGTTAATCAATAGAATCATTTGATAGCTTTACAACCACTGACCAGCAACAGTTATGAAAAAGAGGTGGATTAGGGATTTATGGAAAAATGAAAGATAATGAATTCCAAATAAATATACATTTCTGTATTGGAGATGTCAGGAGAAAAAACAAAACAACTATTTGGAGCTTAAGAGGGAATCAAAATATAAATGTACAGATATTAAACAAATATAATTGTACAATAATAAATGTTGCTGATGTTTATACTAGAATTTCTTGAGGAGAGTGTTTAAATATGAATTCTTTTTAAAAGAAAATACAAATTAAATACTTCATTTTTAAACTGCAAAAAATGAAAAAAATCTACTTTGTGTAAAACACCATATTGTCATTGTATACAATTATAATTCTAGAAATACCCCATAAGGATCCTCTAGACTGACC